AGACAGACAGACAGATAGAAGGGATCTTTTTTGCCCCTTCTTGGTGGTACTTGTAATGTTTTCCTTACGTTTCAGCAATGAGTTAAAATTGTTATTTGGCTTTGCTAAAACATTTTCAAGCCAAAGATTTTTGAATAGAGAACCCGTCTTTTGCTATTAAATGAGACAGATATTTCGATGCCAATAAAATAACACGAAAAAGCAATCAATCAATCATCAATATAAACTCCATAATTTTTCATCTTAGCTGTGCTGAAATGAAAAAAATCCTCCTCCTCCAGTTTATTGCCTATTCTCAGAGTAACTGTAACTCTTAAACTACAAAGTTAATATGGTTACTTAACATAATTAGAACTGGAATAATAATAGCAGCAACAAGATTTCTTAGAAAATTAAATATATATGCTGCCAGCTTTTTGCAGTTATTTTTCAGGGACTTTTAATATATCTCAGTGTGCCAGTTTTATGGCTGGATCTTATTTATGAATCTGAAAAAGTCCAAAGCATTCAATTCCAATTAAAAATGAAATTGAAGTACAACTCCCCATAAAGAAAAGTTGTTTGGACTTAATGTGTTCTATGTAATTTCTCTCAGTACTAAAATAATTTACTTCCCAGTATAATCCAGAAAAAAAACCCTCTTTATGTTGTATCTGTAAATAACACAAAATCTTTCACTCAGCTATTGCTTCATGTCATACCATATATATTTTAAATATCCATGAAAGGGAGCAGTCTTTGGGTAATTATAATCCTATTTTTTCTTTGAAAGAATTCAAAAAGCCAATTCTGTTTCGTCAAAATGAATGAGAACCAGTAATAAAAAAGGGAAGGAATTCAATCAATCAACTCTAACCCAATAATTAGCTTCCTGTCATAAGATCAGGCACAAGATAATAGATTGTGTATACTGTACATACATTTATTTTTCCTATCCTCTCTGAAACTTCAGCAAGTAAACTCCTTTGCTTAAATGTTTTTCGGTTAGGGCAATTTTCACGGATGCTCTGAAGTGCTGGGAAGGTTTACAAACATCAATGATGCATAGACATAAATACCATTTGTTACAGTCTTCATTCTGAGGAAATGCACACCAATCAATACTCGGTATACCCCTATATGAAGCTAAACTTTGTTTTCATCAAGCTACTGCATGATGGCTGTATATGACACGTACAAAAAAGAACCCCATCACAAATTAATCACGATCAAAGTTAGGTCAAAAGAATTAGAATTTTATTATTTGTATGCCGCCCTTCTCCGGGAGGACTCAGGGCGGCGAACAATTCAAGGGGGAAAAGAGGAACATAA